CACTCCTAGGAAATTCATAGCACCAAGGGGCACAAAATGTGTTTCCGGAAAGCAGGTTGATTCGTAGAGAAATTGAGGAAGAGAGAGGGACTCAACTATGCATATCCCCAAGAGGAGCTGGAAGAGAAGCTAGGAATTCCTGGACAAGAGAGCTAGGGTTATACACAGGGAACCTGTGAGTGGGACTCCCTCCTTGTGAAAAAAGGGGAACTGAACATGCTTCCCCAAAAGTATACACTGGGGAGAAGCCCCTCATGATCCTCGGGCACACGAGGTAAGATTACGTGTTTAGTTTCCCCCACTAAACCTTCAGTCTCACAAATTCATGAAGAACCATGACTGCTTTGTTCACCAGTTATCACATGCATACACCCCAAAAGAACTGACCAGTCAATTAATGACACATTTTTCTGTTCATCCCAAAGGAAATCTTCTAACATTGAAATGAAAAAGTTACTTGAATAAGAACCACTTACAGAGTTATAATGCCTAGGAGTCTTCAAATAGGTTGGCGAAATCTTATCTTATGGGAACAGTATTGAGTCTTAGGTTGGATATGCTCACAGTTTGTGGCTAAAGCAAAGGACAAAGCAGAAAAAGTGGGGCGAGAAGGTGGGGGAGGTAATACAGGAAAAAAAGGATTGATGCTTGAAAGGCATGAAATACATAGTTAACAGAGATTACATAAGCTCTCAACTGAGTATTTTTAAAAATATACCAAATTAGTTAAAAATTGTTAGCACAGAGGTATTTCTACTCACAAAAATAAATAATTAATTAGTTTAAAAAATGTCCAAGTTACATGCCCTCAGTTCTCCAGGAGCTATAAAATAGCTTTAAAATCAGCAGGTCAATCTGTAGGAAGTAATAACAAGTGTTGGCACAGATGGGGTCAAACTGGAACCCTCACACACCGCATGGGAATGTGAAATGGTGTAACCAGTTTGGAAAACAGCCTGGCAATTCCTCAAAAGTTAAACATTATGTTACCATATGGCCCAGAAATTCCACACTTAGGTCTACACCCAAGAGAACTGAAAATCTATTTCCATGCAAAAACTTGTATATGAATGAAGTTTACAGCAGCAATATTTGTAATAGCTAAAGACTGGCAACAACCCAAATGTCTATCAACGATGAATGGATAAACAAAATGTGGTACATCCATACAGTGGAGTATTATCCAGCCACAAAAGGCCATGAAGTACTGATACACACTACAACATGGATAAACGGAAAAGATCATGCTACGCGAAAGAAGCCAGTCCTGAAGGACCACATATCATGTGATTCCATTTCTATGAAATGCCCAGAAGAGGCAAATTCACAGAAATGGAAGTGCATTAGACGTAGCCTGGCTGAGCTGGGGAGAAATGAGAAGTTGACAGTTAATAGGGAAGGGAACTCCTTTTTGATGTCATGAAAACATTCTAAAATGTCTTGTGGTAATTGTCACACAACTCTGGGAATATACTAACAGCCACTGAGTTCTACACTGTCAATAGGTGAATAATATAGTCTGTAAACCAGATCTCTATAAAGCTGTTATTAAAAAAAAAAAAAAAAAAAAAAAAGATACGCAGGCTTTTGGACTGGGGCCTCCAGGAACCACTACATCCTGAAATTGGAGCAAGTCTGACTCCACGGCCGGCGGCCGGTGCTCCTCACACCCCACCTTCTTTACAGATTCCCATGGCTGACCTCCCATTCAGCTCTGCTTTACTTATGAGATGATAAGGTTGCAGTAAGCAATTCTGCAACCTACCTGTTCAGCACCACGTTTAAAAACATTAATTGACTGCGTCATCAGAAGAGGCAAAGGAAACCAGCTTGTAACAACCAGCTGTGACGAGAAGCTTCCCCTGCAAATTAGGACCCACACTGGCTCACTCACAGCAGGCAGATTAGCTTTCAAGAAGAGGAAAAACCTGGCATATCTGCTTAGGGTGTTGTGCCCAGGAAATACCTGAATGACTTCCCATCCCTCTCACTGCACTAGAATGTGGAGTGTAAAGCACCTAACAGGAGGCAGCCTTTTTAAAGAAGTTATCTTCTTTACACCAAACCTCTCTGAGATATGGTACTATCCTCATTTCCTAGGCAAGACAATAAACTTAAACTCCAACAGAAACCATCTTATAGGGGCGCCTGGGTGGCTCAGTGGGTTAAGCCGCTGCCGTCGGCTCAGGTCATGATCTCGGGGTCCTGGGATCGAGTCCCGCATCAGGCTCTCTGCTCAGCAGGGAGCCTGCTTCCCTTTCTCTCTGCCTGCCTCTCTGCCTACTTGTGATCTCTCTCTGTCCAATAAATAAATAAAATATTAAAAAAAAAAAAAAGAAAAGAAAAGAAACCATCTTATAGGAAGTAACCACAGGTTGCAGAGTGGTCTGACCCCACATGCCAGGCACTCCCCCCTTCCCCATGTGGCCCTCCTTTCCTGTGCATGGGCAGAGGCAGAAGTGCTTCTGTGAACACTCAAGAGAACCCAGGGCAGAAGTTTCCAGTGGCTTTGAACCCACCTCTCTTGCCCCAGGACACCCCTGGCCATTGGATGGATTTGTGGTCTAAGTTCCTGAAGTCAGGAATAGATAGAAATCCATCCGTCACTCACCAGGACAGATACAAACCTCAACATAATTTGTTTTGCAATGGTTTCAGCTTAAAGTTCTGGTTTGGCATTGGCTTTTTAACAACTAACAGCTGCAGGCAATTTTCACACAGAATAAAGACATCAATAAGGCAGAGAGTGGAATTTTCTCCCTTATGAATACAGAACAATGAGCTGTCTTCAAGATGTACGTGGAGCTGCCACCACGCGGGCTCTGGCTTCGGGCTTGTTTGGAGAGTCTGATGGAATACAACTGAAAAGACGGTGGATGTCGGTGCTTCAAGGGTACTAGCTCTGCCCTCCAGCTCCACTACCACCAAGAAGGCCTTCATCTATCAGCGACATCTATCTCCTTAGGCTGACTTTTGGTTTTAAAATACTTTAAGTGGGAAATAAAACCAAGCCTGTGAATACATGTTAACTGCCCTTCTTTGCAGCCCTCATGGTAGATGACTCACTGCCTCTCTCTAGAAGAGGATTATGTGTCCTCAACCTGAACCCCCCCCAACCCCCGCCACGCCCTCCGCCCAGTGGTGTCAGGAGTGGTCATGTGATTTTCACTGGCCAAAGAAAAGTGGGCAGAAGGGACATGTACCATTTCTAAGCCTGACCTTAGAGCCTGCTAGTAGTTTACCACATCTCTCCTTCCTCTTCCACCAGGCTTGGGTCTTGGCTGGAAGATGGTGAGGAACAGAATCACAGCTGACCCACAAAAGACACGCAGCATTAGCAAGTGATAAGCCACTGCTGTTTGTAAGCACTTAGGGTTTGCTATCACAGGATGAACTAGCTTAAGATGACTGAGACAACCATTAACACTGACCCTCCCCACTTCTCACCTTCAACTGCTCCTCACAGCTCACCTCCTCCAGAAAGCCTTCTGTGACTACCCTCCTCATCAGCGTGTCCTCACAACACATCTATACACAATCTACGCAGAGGTGGGTTGTGCTTCTTCTTTTATGCCTGCATCAGTCCCCTTTTGCTACTGAACTATCAGCTGTTTAGGAGCAGGTTCTAAATGTTTTCCATTTTGAACCTCCCGAGTAACACCCAGAACAGAGTCTCTGCATGAGAGTCAGGAGAGGAGAGAGATTCCTTAAACACTGAAAATATTCATCAACATCATCACATACAAACATGCTGTCAAGAGCCAGCTCTTCTCTCTCCCAACCAATTCTGGTTGGTAATAGGCCTGTTAATCCACTCAGGAGACAAGAACTCAAACATCAGCTTCACAGTACCCTCTCATATTGGCCTGCCTCATACAATAAACTTACAGGTAAATTCTGGTCTAGAAGAGCTGGACTTGACCTGATCAGTTCAGATATCACCCTTGGAAGGCAGCAAGAAAGTCTACATTACTTTCTTGACCTAAAAGTCATGCCGTATGGAAGCAGTCTCTAATATCTGTTGAATGATATAAATGGTCTGATGAGAACTCCATTACAAAATGCCAGTGGTGATGAAGGGAGGATAGAGTATTCATGTAACATTTATTGAGCACCTAATGAGGACCAGGCATTGGGCCACTCCCACTATGTAAATCCTTCTTAGATACTACATCAAACTGGGAGGAGGCATTATTTCTTTTCTCACATTCCAGAAAACAGGCTTATATGCTTTTTCCATACTTATACAGATAGTAAAGTCAGAACAGTAATTTGAACCAACGTCTTCCTAATCCCCATGCCACTACCCTTTAAACTATGCCATAATATCCCCTAAAATATAGGATGGAAAGAAACACTCCTTCAGAAGTGCCTGAAAAGCCAAGCTCAAGAGAGCACTTACATCTTTTGGTGAATGGGTCCTACACTAGATACATCTTTCACTTCAGTTTAGTGGATTCTAAAATATGATAGGATCTATAAAAAGTTTCCCACAATAGTTATTACTGCAATCCCATCATTAGGCTAAATAATTACACTGTACTTAAGTAATAATGTCTTTCATCAAGGGATCCAGGACAGGAGGAGGAGTATGACTAATTTTTAAAAAGATTAATACTATACACTGAGAGTAGGGGTGGAGAAAGCAGGAGGGAATTGTGGAAGCTGTGAAGCAGATGAGGGAATTCTTTATCCACACAATATAGACTCAGACTGGAATGGGGAAGCATAGAAAGAGCAACTTAGGATGCAGTTCTGCCACATATTTTGAAGACCTAAGGTCTAAATCCCTCGACTTAAAGCAAAGCCCTTTGATGTAGCAATGCTACCCTCTTCTTTCTCTTCCTCTAGAGGCTCCGTGCTCACAGCTGCGGTGCCGATATAAAGGGGTCATTTCACTGAAGAAGGGCAAGCCCATGGTTAACCAAACCAACCATGAACATCTCTCTCCTCTCCCTCCTGGCTCCCAACCACCGCCAGGAAGGAAGCTGGGGACTCACCACAAGTTCACTAAACATGACGTCCAGCTCCTCCACAGGGGGCATGGGCAATGCTGGCTCCATGGTCTGAAGCGCAAAGCTGCTATCGTTTCGCAGCCGATAGGTGATTTCTGGGTGATCATTATTTCGGAAACAGCAAAAGATGAATGAGATCCCCCGTCCACCTCTCTTCCTTGGGGCCATGACTGAATTCTGTTCTATTTCTTGAAGGGACTAAACTCTGCAAAAAAGAAGACAGGACATGGTTAAGGGTGGAAAAATGGGTAAAACATTGTTTTTTGTTTTGTTTTAAGTCAGACCAATTCAAGAAAGAGACCTCTGCACTGGAGACAGTTGATATGCCCCTATAGGGCACAGAGAGGACAACCCCAGGAGGATCTGGAGTCTAGCTGGGCAAAGAGCACAGTCTTCTATTCACTTGTTGAATGTTTCCTATGACCAACTGCTGAGTAACCAGTACAACCCTACTGCGCATGCCGCAGCACATGCCCCAATCGCATTGGGCTACTGGCCATTCTTTGCCTATCACATGCTCTTTCTCGCCAACCCATCTTGTTCTTTAACTCTCTTGCAAGAATGACCTTCTCTTCCTCACACCCCTAAAGGATCTCTTACCCTTTAAAGCTTGGTATCAGTTTCTTCTTTTCTACCTTCCCAAAGTAGAATCAGTGAACGTATGCTAAGGCCTACCTATTCATTCCAGCTCATATCACATTCTAAGTTCCTTAAGAGAATACGTTCCTGTTAGACCACGATGAGCTCCAAGTCAGGGAAGGAACTGTGTACATCAAGCAACTTGTCGGCACTCGTGCCCTGCACGGTGCCAGGGAGGAAGGAGGCACTCAGTTACTGTTTATCTTGTTGAATAATTTAAATTCATAACAAAGGAAGAGTAACTTCACATGAGCTAGAAGAGTCATAGATATTCAAACAGAAAAGATCAAATGAGTTCACCAATAAGGAGATGGTTATAGTATATTCACATAATAGAATACTATGCCCTCATTTAAAAACAAGGCATATGTATATGTAGATATGGAAACATGTTGAAGATGCCATATGCTATATATACTACAAGATTACATTTTAAAGAATTCATATACATGCTTATGAATATATATAAGAAAGGGCTAATAGTAGCTGCAACCTCTAAAATAAAAATAGGGGACTGGAGAACTGTTCTTTTTCATTTTGTACCCTTTTGAATTTGAATTTCTACTACAAAATTACATTTTTAATGATTATATAGTTTAAGATTATAATTATATATATTGCCTGGGGAAAATTCCCAAGTTATACTGACTGTTAAGTGAAAAAAGCAAATCAAAGAATGATATGTACAACATGATGCCATATGGCTTTTTAAAAATAATCTCATACAATGATATAAACTCTGGTAAAAATTTTCATAAATAACTATGATTTACAAACACTTCTAGAGTCAAGATCTCTGCTTACTTAAAGGATAGTGGTCTCCAGAGGGTGGTCTCCAGAGGACTTTAGAAGTCTTGGGATGGGAAGGGAGGGAAATGTTCAGAGCAGCATGTTTCTCGTGTAGCCCTATGTGATGATCCAAATGGCTCTGAAATAAAGACTTAGCTGAGACATCCAATACCCCAATCTGTTGAAGCATACATCTCCTGGCCTACAGTGTACTTGTGCGAGTACACTGTACGCGAGGTCATGGGAGGCAATATGCAGTACCTGGGATTCCTCTGGCAAATGTGTGTACTACCTATTCTATAACAGGCACTATAAGCACCTAAAGATACATAAATGAAATGAAATTATAAGCTCACTAGGAGCTTATAATCTGGTGGGAGAGTGTAGTGCACCAAATAGTTATAACAAAAGTCCTATCGCATATCATACCAGTAAGTGCTATGTAATCAAGCAGAAAGTCCACAGGGAAGAATCTGAGAATGGTCTCCGATGGACGAGTGGAGCTTTGATAGATAATGGAAAGCAGAGCATTTCGGCAGAGGGAACAGTGCAAGCAAAGACACGAAGTGGGAAGGGGCACAGCGTGTACTGGGAATGAGTGGTGCTGTGGCACAGGTTGTGCTGCAGAAGCCCATCTTCCCATTGTAAAGCCCTGGGGCTCTCATTTTCCTGATCCAAACCCACCAAAATCTCCCCAATACCAATATAATTAGCATTCAGTGCTCCACCAAATCGGATCCAATTCAATTTCTCTGTCTTCTCTATTTCCTGAAAAGTATGCTCCACTTTAGCCAACAGACCATTTTCCATGCCCCATAAATATCCTCCCCAGTATTCTGCTCACTGCTTCTGCCTTTATCTTTGTCAACATGCTCCCACCCTGACAGTACCAATCCCAACAGCCCTTGGTACTGTGAGCCCATCCATCACTGGTGATAATGGAAATGTGGTTCAACATTTCTGATGGGCAATTTATCAAAGCCTTGAAATAGTCATACTGTTGAACTTCTAGAAACATATCCCACCGAAATATTCAGAGATACTATCAAAGATGTCACAAAAATTTTTAAAGTGTTAGCTATTATGACAAATAAATGAGGGGATAAAATAGGTGCTGATAATAGAGGACTATACAGAAAGGGTAATCATAGTACAACTAGATGCCAGACCACCAAGCAGTTCTCTGTAAAAGAATATTTAATGATATGCAAATTAATTTTTAGGATATGTAAACTAAAGAATAGGTATACAATGTCCCATTTATGTAAGAAAAAGTGTACATGTATGAGCAGGAAAAAAAGGACAAGAGAAATGCACCAAAATATGAGCCAAGGTAGCCTGTGTCAAATGCATGACTTACTTTTATAAAAAACAAAAAACTTTTCTATACTTTCCAAATTGTTGTCACAATGAAGACATACTACTTTCACAGTAAAATGGAGATTAAAAAAAAAAACACTCTAGATTGTTTATATGACAGATGGAAGGAGGAGAATGTGTATGCAAAAATGTTCTTTTCAAAAATACCCAAGTTATGGTGATCTATATACCAGCTTCTCAAACTATCTGAGGCGAAGGACTACTTGCTTTCCCTCCAATCTGTTAGAAACATATTTTTGTACACTATAGTACAAATATCTCGACAATGTCAAATTGCTTGAAGAATTTCTCTACGTGTGTAATTCTTGTATTCTTTGTTAACCAGCATGGGGTATGCAGCAATAGAACTGATATATACCAGGAGATGGGAGTTAAGACTTAGCTCATTAAAATATAACTGTTAACCTTGGTCTCCAATGTATTTCCTCAGGGCAGGAGCCATATCCCCCTTGGTAGCCAGGCCAGAGTCCCGCACACCCTGTCAATCAAGAAACTGAGGAGAGACTGTTCAGGGACTACTGTTAAGATCTGCAAGATTAAGTGCCTCCATATGAGGGGAAGGAGACAATGTTCAGGCTACTGGAAGATGAGGGAAAAAAAAAAAAAAAAAACCAAAGTAGGCAAGAGCTAGCCCATGGAGGGTCATATGGTCCTTGCTCAGCTTTCCAGTTCATTTCCAGGCAGTCTTGCTAACCCACCCTGCTGAATGTGGTTTGGACCCTCTTAGCATTTTGTGACCCCTATGAGGCAGACCCAACAGTTATAGTAATTTGTGGTCTGGGTCTTACTTCCCCTATTGAAGAGTCAACTCCATAAGGAAAAGTGCTCACGTCCTGTATCAGTGCCTTGCACACAGAGGAGTATGACCAAAGTGTTTGGGAAACAAATAGAGAGCAACTTTACTTTTGTACTTTATAGGTTGTTTCCCTTAAACCCAAGTTTTATTATATTCTGGCTGTACTGAGGTGGGGAGCACAGGAAATACTGAGATCTAAAAATCAGTCCAAAGCATTTCTTAAATCTTTTTTTTTTTTTAAAGCCAGCAGTTTTATAAACAAAAATATATGAGGGTCTTGGCTAGTTTCTAAGATGGGTAATAAGATATAGAACCTATTATGTTTAAGAAAGTAATTGAAATCATTTTTAATGAGGACCAAAATATTGCCTTTGACAGGTGATTGTGTTTAAAAGCCTCAGTAAAGCCCAAAGGCCAAGTTTCTATGCTGGCTCTTCTGTGCAACCCCAAATATAAGGTTCTCCATTAAACCCATCTTTAAACTGTAAATGATGGCAAAGCTTTGAGATTTCCAACAGGCTGCCATTTTTAATACATATTTGGAATTCTACTGTTCAGAGCATAGTCTCCCAGATATAGACCAAAATGGAAGCAAAATAATCATTCCATGACCCATCACTGGCAGTAGACACTTCTGGCCAGCCCTCCTTAACTCTCTAACATGTCACTAATGAGCAAGTAACCCCAACAGCTGCCTCTGTGTGTTTGTGATTTTTACTAAACACATTCATACCCATCACTTCATTCCATCATCCTCTTTTCACATATTGGACCTAAGGAGGGACTTGGGAGGTTGTGGGGCAGTTAGAAAGAGAGAAATTAGCAACTTACTTTGCTGGGAAACATAAGGAGACGTTGATTAGAGAAGACCAAGTGGTTAGGTGTGGGGCAGGGAAGCCTGGCAGAAGTCAGGGAACCTGCATGCTTAATCCAACTGGAATCCAATCCCCACCCTCTCCAACCTCAAGGCCATCACCTTTGTTCAGCCTCCCCTTATCTCTCATCAAAATGACTACAACAGTTTTCAATTCTCCTCCTTGGCCCATGGTTCCCCAGTATAGGGGTTGACAAACCTTTTCTGTAAAGGGCCAAATAGTAAATATTTTAGGCTTTGTGGGCCCTTAAGCTTCTATCACAACTAGTTAAACCTGCCATTTTATTATGAAAGCAGTGACAGGCATCTGTAAAAAATGGGCATGTTCACGTGCCAGTAAGACTTTTACTGTGGACACTGAAATCTGAATTTCATAGGACTTTCTCACATCATAAAATATTTTTTAAAATTTGTTTTATTATTTAGAAATGTGAAAACCATTCTTAGCTCATGGACCATACATACAAAAATAGGTGGTGTGCCCATGAAGCGTCCATGGGCTGAAAGTCACCAGTAGATGCCCTAGTTCATCATATTAATCATTTAATTCACTAAGTCAAAAGTGTGTTGAGTCCTGGGGTACCTGATTGGCTCAGTCAAAGAGCATGAGACTCTTGATCTCAGGGTCATAAATTCAGGTCCTACAATGGGTGATAGTGATTACTAAAAAAAAAATAAACTGTTAAAAAAAAAAAGCTTGTTCAGTACTGATTACGTGCCAAACACT